AAAGGCATTTAGGTCATTTATGAATGACTGATGTTTGATAGATACTGAGATGCTAAGTCTACTTGAGGACAAAAGTGATAATTTTTATATTGATATTCTTGGTTATTTAGGGACGTAGTAAATGCTCAGTAAAACTTTGTTGAAGTTAAAAATGTTCATTGTTTTAAATTATTCTTACTCCTCTACTTGATTGACTGTCATAAGATATAGTCCATTTTAATTTTGCTCTGAAGCTTGAAATTTTCTTCCAAGGCCAATTTTATTGTCTTTATCTACATTAAATTTTACATTTAATTATAGTTCAAATTTGGACCATCACTAGTGGTCTCTTTCTCCTAGTTTATCTCAGAGATGTTCCTAAACCATGGATGAGTATCCAGTAGAAGATAAGACATTTGTAACAGTACTTTACTGTCAGAGTTTGTGATCTACACAAACTCTGACAGTAAAGTACTGTTACAAATGTGATCTACACAAACTCTTGTCTTTTTTTAAAACCTAACTTTTATCTTTAATACCCCTTTGGCAACTCCTGTGTTGGAAGGGGATTTAACAAACTTGAATGAAGAGGTAACAAATATCAAATTGTGGTTTCACTTGTTTGTTTTAATTGATTCAAGGTCATGAATGTCTTGAAGATAAAATAGTCTACTTGTTTTTAAAGATAACACAATTCTTGCTTCTCTCTCTCCTGTTCTTTTCTTTTGCTATTGACTACATCTTTGTCATTTAAAAGATGAATCACCCAAAGAGAGAACCCAGTTATTCTTTGAGTGGATAGGTCTAGAGCAAACCAGAAGAGACTCTCCATCTCTATGCAATTGACCCTCACTTCAGCACTATCACTTCTCTATCTCTGGATGGTATGTCTGAAACATTGTTTCTACCCTGGTAACCAAGGACTTGTCTTAAATGAGTGCCTCTTCCGTCCCTGCTGCGAATCACGTGAATCTGTAAAAGTCCATGCTCTTTGATGCAGTTTCCTGCTCTTGGATTTGTACAAAATTTGTTTGTTAGTTGGCAAATGGGACACAGCTGGCTTCTGATTTAGAGAGTGCCTTAAATTAGTTACCTCCTACCTTAACTTGATCATTTAAATGGAAAGCGCTACTGCTCCAACAGAGCAGACATGATATAAAAACCATTTCTGACATGAGTATCTTGCCTCCCCAATTGTGATGGCTACTGGTATCTCTGAAGGAAAAAAAGTAAAAAATAAAACACAGATTTTACAATTCTCACATGTGGTAAACTGTCTTTGCATTATTTAAGGAAAGCTTTAAATGTTCAATGAATGTGCTTAAGCTAATGACACTTGATGCCAAGAAGACAGCAATAATCCAACGGAATAGAATAGCATTTTGGAAAGTGGCAATTTGTGTAGAAATTGCATAAAGCATCAACACCTGCTGGGACTTTACGTATAAGTGAGCTATAGCTTGGGTTGGGAGTTATGTATTTGGCCTTTCATTTGTAAATAAGACACTGCTCCTTTCCTTCCAAGGAGTAGCTAGGCCAGTTGTTAATGAAAGAATACTGGTATCCTTTGCTCATAGTGGCAAAATTGTCAGAAGCATCTGAAGATCCTCATCTTGTAAGTCTTAGTATTCCGAGGAACCTAAAAAGTCATTTGGAAGACAGCATTCTATAGTTGAAGATGACTAGATCTACAATCAAAATATTTGGAGAGGAGTCCTGTCTATACTATTAACTGTCATTACTTTAGTTTTCCTCACCAAGTTCCCACTAAGGCTTATGTGATCTGGCCCAGAGTACTTCTCCAGCCTTGTTTGATGGTCTTTACTCCTCTTTGCTCCATTTCAGCCCCTGTGCCATTTCTTGTACATTTCAAAGACATGTTCTTGCTGCCAGACCTTCTTTACTTACTGTTCTCTCTATCTGAGATGACCTTACCCCCCTAGATACATGCTGACATTTATTGAGCAGATCCTGTATGTTCCAAGGCATTATAAATGCTTTGCCTGTTAGTGTTGGTGAATTATCATGATGACAGTATGTAGTGTGTAGTGACATTGGATGGATGAGAAGAGGAGGCAGAGCGGTCTGGCAGAGACAGAACTGGAACAAAGGCAGCTTGGGTGGGAGCCAAGTCTCTCACAAGAAGTGCTCTCATAGTACACAACACCCAGGGTGTGGTTCCCACCCTTCCTTTAACCTCAGAGCTCTTTCTCAGTGAGCATTTCCTGACTATCCTATTTAAAGTGGAATCCCTGTGACTCTGTTTCTCTTTACTTAGCTTTATATTTCTGAACAGTACTATGTAATACCTGACTTATATTGCCTATTTACTTATTTCTCTGTTTATCTCCCTCACGAGAATACATATTCTTTTTTTTTCTTTTTAAGATTTTATTTATTTATATGACAGAGAGAGACATAGCAAGAGAGGGAACACAAGCAGGGGGAGTGGAAGAGGGCGAAGCAGGCTTCCTGCTGAGCAGGGAGCCCGATGTGGGGCTCGATCCCAGAACCCTGAGATCACGACCTGAGCTGAAGGCAGGCGCTTAACAACTGAGCTACCCAGGAACCTGTAGAATATATATTCTGTGAGCGAAGGACATTATTCTGGTCTGTTATCACTCTAGCCCTTGCATCCGGAAATGTACTGAAATGTAGTGAGAGAAGGATGTAAGTTGGGTTAGAATTCTTATGGTATGTAAGATATCTTATTCTTCAGACATTTGCAGAGTACCCATTTTGTGCCAGATTCTATGACCATTTTTGGAAATATGAAGGTGAATGAGAATGATGGGACCTCCTACTTTCCTGTTTTTCCTGATGCTTTTAGGGCATCAGAGAAGAAACAAACATGCAATTAAGAGGCAGTTGCCCAGCTACAGGGTATTTACCCCAAAGATACAAATGTAATGATCCAAAGGGGCAGGTGCACCCCAATGTTTATAGCAACAATGTCCACAATAGCCAAACTGTGGAAAGAGCTTAAATATCCATCAATAGATGAATGGATAAAGAAGATGTGATACACAAACACACACACACAGAAATATTATGCAGCCATCAAAAAATGAAATCTTGCCATTTGCGACAACATGAATGTAGCTAAGGGTATTATGCTAAGCAAAACAAGTTAATGAGAGAACGACAAGTATCATATGATCTCACTGATATGAAGAATTTGAGAAATAAGACAGAGGATCATAAGGGAAGGGAGGGAAAAATGAAACAAGATGAAACCAGAGAGGGAGACAAACTATAAGAAATTCTTAATCTCAGGAAACAAACTGAGGGTTGCTGGAGTGGAGGGTGGTGGGAGGGATGGGGTGACTGGAGGATGGACCCTGGAGAGGGTGAGTGCTGTAAATTGTATAAGACTGAAGAATCACAGACCTGTACCCCTGAAACAAATAATACATTATATGTTTAAAAAAAAAGAAAAAAAAAAGAGGCAGTTGCCCAGGATAAGCAATCTATTAGAGCAAATATAAGATGTGGCAGAGAAGCAAGGGTTCAGGGAAAGCTACTCTGAGAGAGGGGTGAGACCCATACTGAGAGCTGAAGGGCGGACTGAATGGGGATGCAGGATGATTCTGGGACGGAGCCGATGACAGCCCTGAGAGCGCACATTCCACTTCAAAAGCCGTTCACAGTGACTCCGGTATAGATTGTGAGGGGCAGAGTTGGCTGTCCGAGTCTGGAGGATGAAGTGGGGTTTTCCAGTGTCTTGAAAACTATTCTAAGGAGTCAGGACTTAATTGTCTGAGCAATGAGATGTCACTGAAGGATTTTTAAATCAAAGTAGTTTTGACTTAGTATCTGATACAGTTTACTGCTGTCAGCCAGCTAAGTTGGCAATACTTCCACTTTCTGGATGGGACAAGTGAGACCCAGAAGAACACATTTCAGTGTCGGTGGTGTTGATTTAATTCTCTTAATGACAGTAGTATCAGGGCTCCTAACTCATACCTTCCCACCATCTCTCCTTCCTTCTTTCTGGTTGTTGTTCTTGTGAAAAGTCAAACATAAAACCATCCTTATCTTTCTCCAAGGAACAGCCATGCATGGACACAGCCTCCAATAACCAGACCCCTGAGGGCAAGCCAGTGCCTTCCTGGGTAGCAGGGCTGGAATGTGGATGGACACCATATTGTGCACTGGGCTGGAATTCTCTGTTCTTCTTCGCTAGGAAGCTGGATTTGTACCAGGAACCTCTTATCTGAAAAGGCAACTCTGGGCTGGGGAGAACAAAGCTGGTTTGACAAAGTGGAGAGGCGTTCAATATTGGTCTGCCCACACTTTGGGCATGCGTGAGCAAAACACAGCTGGCATGTCTAATTTTAGCCTTGACTGCCTTGAAAAGGGACCCTTAAAGGAAATATATTTTCTCTGAAACAATTTGTATTATAATGTAATAGCTGAGAGACATGTCAGAATATTACTTATTATTGGTAGGGAAAAACTCTGCCAAGTAATTATGATTTTTTGTGTGTGTGTGTGACGGTATCAGTAAAGTGATTAAAGCATCCATGAATCAAAATAACCATAAAGAGATAGGCAGTGAGAGAACCCGTGATTTTATTTATAAAGATGCCTGTAAAACTAATGGGATTCCTCCTTTGATGCTTACAAAATGAATGTAAGGATGAGAATGATCATTTTTGCTATGGCAAGTTGGTCATTGTGATTTGATGATGCATGGCTTGCTAATTGTAGTCCTGGAGTAGACTCTCAAATTTCTTCAATACTTAGCATCCTCCATGTCTTCCGAGAAGTATAAGGTTAGTTTCTGAACCAGGTCTTGGATTCATCTGGCTTTTGTATGTTAACAGGTTTTGAAAGCATCCGGGACACACTTTTTTCCATTTTACCCAGCAAGGGTTGTCCCTCTGCTTTTACTTTTGTCTCTCTTCCTTCCTCCCTTCGTCCTCTCTCCCCTCCCATAGTCTTCTGTGTTTTGTTTAGCGATGTGGCTTACCTTGCAACTTGGCAAGAAAAAAAAAAAAAAAGAAGGCAGCTCTTGTGGTGGGGTAGATGGAGGGAAGGATAAGAATTAATCCACTGCCCGCATTTGGGTTCCCTGGGTTCCGTTCCAGTGGCGGCAGCTTTGCTGCAAAAATTGCTTTGCTATTCGAGATAGCCAGCAGAGGGAATCGGAACTTTGCTTGCAGCAGGGGTTGAAGCAGGCTTTTTTTTTTTTTTTTTTTCTTGGAGGAAATACTGCAGCCTTCTGGACTGCGTACGCTGCTCCCTGGAGAGGCTCTCTCGGTTCCACCCACCGGCTGGAAGGAGGGGAAGTGAATGAAAGGACAGGACAAGCCCCGAACACCATGTCACTCTGGGAGGGAGACAGCAGCAACTAAGCTGTGCAAGGTTTTTTTTTTTTTTTTTTCCTTTTTTTTTCTTTTTCTTTCCCCCTTTCTTTTTCTTTCTTTCTTTTTTTCCCCCCTTTATTTCCTGTTTCTTCTTCCTTTCTCTTTCTTTCTTTCCTCCTCCCCCACCCCCTTTTTTTTCTTTAAGGTGGGGAAAGAGACTAACAGGAGACAGGAAGCTGATCTGCAAGGATTCGGAGTTGTGCTAAAAGGACTTTGATTTTTTTTTTTTTTTTTTCTCTCTCTCTCTCTTTACAAACGCTGGCAATTGACATCACTACAGACAGCCTGATAGAGAACAAACTGCCTCATCCCAAGTGGACCCTAGCAGCTCGGGGAAGGAAAGCACGATCTGGGAGGTTGTGTGTGGGGGGTTTTGGGTTGTTTTTTTTTTTTCCCCTACCGATACCCCTCCTTTTTTCTTTTTTCTTTTTTCCTTTTTTTTTCTTTCTTCTTCTTTTTTTTTTTTTAGTGTGTTTCTTTTTTAAATTCTTGCCGTGTTGGAACTAGCGAGTGGTGGAAGACGAGGGATCTCTGAAGCCTCATCAGTCATCGGGACTGTCAGGAATAGTGGTTTAAGAGGAAGCTCGGCCTGGGGCACTATACCCTGTCATCCAGTTCCCTGCCTCGGAGATAAAGATTCCAGCTACATGGGCAAACGCCTGGATCAGCCACAAATGTACCCCCAGTACACTTACTACTATCCTCACTATCTCCAAACCAAGGTATGGCTCGACCCACAGTCTGGCAAGCAGTGCGGTGTCCTTCTGCACTCGGGATGGGAAACAGACAGGCATGTGGATTATTATTTACCTCCCCTTCCCCATCAGCTCTTCCTGGTTCTTTGAAATGAGTAACATACCAATGGAGTTAATGAGGCAGAGGAGACTCTAAGAAGAAAGCAAGCCCTGGGATTGTGGTTTTCTCTTTTGGGAGAGATAATAGTTGTGCTCGTGTTCCTTTGTTGTTATTTGGCAACATGAAAATGTTCCTGATACCCGTAGTAAAGTGCTGTTCAGATGGACAGTGTTGTTAGAAAGGAGATCGTAACAGTGATTATCAGGCACAAGAATACAATTTCAGGGGCTTTTCTGGTGAGCTGTTCTTTGTTTGTGGCTCTAAAAGGGTTTTTCCCACTGGCTAGGACTCGCCAGGGTGGGGATAACTCAAACTTTTAATCGTGGAGTATAGAGGGAAAGAAGGGTGTGGGAAGGTTAAATACAGCTAACTCAAGTCCCTTAGAGTTTGTTTGGGTGTGTTTTTGTGGTGTTTGTATGTGTCTTACATATTTGATTTCATATTGAGGATGATCGAGACACTAGAGACTGAATTTTAGAGCTTTCCAGTAGATGTTCTTTACTTTCAGAAGCTCTGTTTTTCTGTGCTGGCTGCCTTCGGGAGGCCCGGTCTTGAAACAGGATGAAATGTAACTGATGGTAATTGGACGTGAACTGGTTAAATACTTGAGTCTTTCTGTGTGTGCTCAAATGATCATTACGGGGCCAGTGGCAAGCTCACGTAACTAAGCAGTGGTCAGTGCCAGCCATGAACTTTATCCTGCAGTTAAGACATGAAACACTCTCAGGTGTGAAATCAATGCTCCAATTTGTCCATTAAATTGTACTCGATGCGGGGGGATGTTGGTAGAGTTACCACTTTGAATGCATGGATTGTATTTCTTTGCCGATGATATTATTTTGTATCCCATTAGCCAGACTCCACGGTCTTCCTAATAAATATGCCGAGAGTGAACAAGGCGTGCCTGAGTGATCTGTGCTGTCACCGGACTCGTTGATGTGATTAGTGTTTGGTAATTCATGCTGTAGTTAGCTCTTATTTATTCTGTCTCATCAAACAATGCCTATTTGTAAACCAGACCAGGCAACAGACTTTCAGAATTATATTAAAAATTGTTGCTTTTTTTCCTTTCTTTTTCAATCGCTCTATGACTCGCCCTGCCCCTCCAAGGTCGACTCACATTGCTTTTTGCCTTTGTGAGCGTTTAGTTTGTGTGGCTGCTGCTTAAGTAGACCAGCCCCTCCTGCTCCAGTGCCTTGAGTTTTAACTCTTTGGGGGATTGGGTGGAGAATGCTGCCTGCCTTCCTCAAGGAAATGGCATAGCAAGGGCAAGTTAAAAAGAGGAAATTTATAGTCATTTCTCATCCCCCAAAGAAACAAAAACAACAAACCCAAGGGTTCCATGAAAAATATCGGACATTCCATCCCTTTTACTCATTTGGCTAAATTTTTCCAAATGTTTCAAAATTCACGCTTTCTTTTCGGTTCTTGTTTTTTACTATGAAGTATATTCAGAGAGGAAACTTTAGCTAAAAATGAATGGAGTAATGGAATAATTGCTTTCCTGCTTGAGATTTCTTTTAACTTATTACTAGCAGGAAATAATGTCGTGTACATTATATTAATGACAGGATGCTGGATGAGCTACGCTGATGGGAAGTGTGTGTGTGTGTGTGTGTGTGTGAGAGAGAGAGAGAGAGAGAGAGAGAGCGAGCGAGCGATTGGGGCGAAGAGAGAAAGTGGAATGATGAAGGAAAAGATGACAGCCTGAAAAATATAAAGGGAATTTAAAAAAAAATCTGTTTTGGGGTCCTGTGTAGTTTAGTGTTGTGTAGACAGGCGGCATCTGGATCTTGTTACTTTTAAGCTAGTCAAAGTCATCAACTTCTGGAACATTTTTAAAGAAGCTAGATCCATTAGGTGACCTAAGCTGATACTCGGATAATCAGATCAGGGTGGTGGGGAATATAAGATTAGCTACTTCGGCTATTGTGGTAGTTCGTATTGATTATTATGTTGTAAAATTTCGACAGTGCTGTGAAGTTGTCGAATACTGTTATGGTGGCTGTGAAATGACAGACATTAATAACATTCCTGGAAGCTGAAGATGTGAAAACGTGCCCTGGTTTGAAACCTGGGCACACAGGGAATGGGAAGAAGAAGGGTCAATCATACCTTAAAATGTGGGGTCTTTCTGACAGCATGAATACTATGTAAGAAAGTACTATCATGACCCAGCGTAGCATGAAAACAGCTAGGTTATTTCAGTATCATTGCTTTGCTCCTTTTATACTTATATCTTAAAATATAATCTCTACTAATTTTGAAGGAAATACATGCTGCTCATGTTGATTTGGTAAGCCTCGGTGGAATTCACAAAATCTTCGGTCCTTTCAGCCTTGGCTTTAGTTATAGTCCATTTTTAAACTTATAGCTATTTAAAATGATGCTGATATATAAAGAATACTTATGGTTGATTAAAAACAGAGATCTGTAGTTGATAATAGAAGTCATATTCTGGGAACATCATAACTTAAGCTGACTTGCAAATTCAGGTGTTTTTTACTAATCAACAAAAGCCATTTACTCACATTTATTTTGGGGTAAAAAATCTTTATGGGGTTTTTTAAGTACTGAAAGGTTTATTGTTGTATTCATTCAGAAAGTACAAAATACCAAACCTTCTCTTTCTACTTAAATATGTGTGTTAGATACAGCTGCTATTTTCTTATAATAAAATGAAATGAAAGTAGGATTTCTAAGTAAATGGAAATGTTTCCATTTCCTCAAATGCAATTAAAGTTTCAGAAAAACTTGGGACACTTCCCTGCCTTCTCTGCTCCTCTTATTTCCCATTACATGAGAACTAATCCATTAATTTTGTTGGGTTAAAAGGAAAAAGGAGTTAGAAATAAGTTATTTATACTTTTCTCCCTCTGAACCATTTTCCACATGCTTAAAATAGTATATTAGACAAATGTACATGTAAGTAAAATGAAAAACCCAGTGGCTGACTGGTAGCTCTATTGTAACAGGGTTGTTAGTATTTGCATTCTCTGAGACCCTGCATTAAAAGTTACCATTTGTCAGTTTTCTTTTGGCCATCGCCCCTCCCCCCCCCATTAAAAGAAGCACTTTCAAAAAGCAACGTTTGTGATTAGGCAGAAAAGAAGAAATCTTGGTGACATGTTATAGTATTTACGCTAGAGACAGAGCTGGATTAAAAAAAAACCTCTCCATCAAAACGAATTGGCTATTTGAAGGCCACCCAGAATAATCAGCAAATTTGAGAGAATGGAGACCCAAAAAACAGTTCATTAGCTTAATGATAATATCCATAATCATGTTTGATTGAGTTGTAACCTAATATTTTCAGTAATTTTGTGATAGCCCATTCAAAACAGCCAACCTGTTGGAATTGCACTGAGAGATCCAGGGTGGATTCCAGTCTGAGTTTGAGGTACTTTGTGTAGGGGAGGTTCTTGGAAAAGCAACTTAGTCAAGCTAGGAAAGCTAGAAAGAGTAAAACCTGGTCACAATCCAGTGAATTGATATTTTGGTGCTGAGAAATAGATATTTCCCTCTTGCGTGATATTTGGAAAACTTTAGTCATCTTCCCCAAAGTTTAAAATTCATCCAGGCACACACAGCAAGCTAGTCCTTCCTTCCGTTTCCTCACCCTGACCAGGTCACGATGTTTCTACCAACCCAGGGCATGGCTTCTACTCAGGCTGTTTTCCCATCAGCCTCCTGCTCTCCCTTCTTTGGCCATCCGCTTCCCCTGAAGATCTTGCAGAAAGGGGTTCAGCCTGTGGGACCCAATGGGGTTTTTCTGGCTGGTGGGACTCGGATTGTATTCAGAGCCTGGTGTGAAGGTGGGGTCAGGTGTGGGGAGTAATTCATCAGCTGCACACTGATTTCAGGCTGAGTTTCCAACCATCTGCAGCCTGGACAGCCGCCCATCTCTCAAAGTCTAGCTAGAGCCCAACTGACTGTGCCACAGAAAGAGCAAACACTTGAAACACAAAGGACTAAGGAGTAGGCAGAGGAAGAGAGAGGCTCCTATGGGGCAAAAGATATTCTCAAAGATGTGAAAGTACAGATCCTTCAAAAGCAAAACAGAACAACCCCTTAACATACTTCTTGAACATGAAAATGTAGAAAATCTTGCAGAGGGAGGGAATGAGTTTAGAATTTCCTTAGTACTTCCTGCCTCAGATTTGCATTGATAGCCGGAGTTGGTAACTTGCCAGTTTTAAAACAGCCTTGAAAACTCCCAAGTTCTGTTTTCCTTTGAAAGGCTGAAACATACAAAACTGGTTTTCTAAAAATCTTCCAGCAACAGAACTTTTAGGTACAACCCCAACTAGTTCTTTCGCTTCAGGGGGGTCATATGATAGCATGAAACCATGATAAATCTTGTTTGTCTCATTTTAGAATGTATACAATTTTAATTGGTTTTAAATAAGAGAAATATCATAACAAGGGGCCACTCTCCCTTTCTAGTTCTCTTGTTTGCTTTCCTCTCCCCACTCTGTATTATCATTGGGATTGTCTTTCCCACAATGCAGTCATTGTTTTCACAGCACTAAGTTCAGTGCCTACTTAAAAAGAAGAGATATATAAAAAGTTCCTGGCCGTTTTTTTTTTTTTTTTTTCCCTCTCTCCAGAATCATTCCAAAGTCAAAGGAAACCTCATGTAAATTTGTTCTAACAGTATCTTTCTAATGCAGGTTCCTTTCGCTTTCTCTCAATTTGGGAAAAGAACAATAGAATTAAAACTCAAAATTATTTCTATGAAGTCATTAAATCTATTAGAGGGTTAGAGGGAGGAGTGATTTGCAAGGGAGGGAGGCAAAAGACAAGAAGGAAGCTGTAAGTTCATCTCAGGTCTTTCTGGCTCCAGGAATTCTGAAAAGCTTCATTT